CCCCAAAACCCCAAAACCCCATGATATAAAATATGTAGATTAATACCAAAAAGGAAATGATAATATAAGTTCATTTCATAAATTAAGAACTAAAATTAATAAAAAGCTTAATGAATGCTATTTTTCTATAAAATAAATAAAATATTTGAAGGATTTAGAACTGATTTAAATGGCAGAACATAAAAAATCAACTAAAAATGATTAGCCTACTGTGCCTTCTTAGGGCAACCACCCACTCAAACATCTGCTGTCTCAATCATTTGACAACACCACCTCCGGAAATGCAATGAGCAAAAATTACAACAAGGCACTGCAGCATAACCTGAACAACTTCTCTCATGAAGAATCCGCATCATCTTAAGAAGGAAATGCAGCAGCCGCACATTAGCTTAATAAGAAATTGTAAGCTCAGATAAAGGACTTATAGTAAAATTTGGTTTTGAACAAAGAAATTCTGAATAGACTGCTATCGAATGCAGATGCTAATGAGGCTCTGTTGGTGATCATAAAAGAGATGACCACCAAAAACAATGCTCTCTAGGAATAAGTTTCAATCCTATCGTCAGACAAGGAGTCACTGCAAAGCTTCGCATAGCAGCAAGCTGAAGATTTCAAAAAGTAAATTAAAGATTTGCAATTGAACTCAGTAGCGGAAAGCGAAATGAGTTTCATGAAGGAGTAAATTATGATGCTGAAGAAAAAAGTAGCTGATAAAGAATATCAATGTATTAAATAGGATAATGAGATTAAGAAAAAGAAAAAGGAACTGGAAAAGCTCAAAAGCTTACTTGAAGATAATAACAGGGTCACCTCGGGAATGAATAAATCTTTCGACATTTATCACAATAATAAAAATATGGATTTTGATGAGCTTATAAATAACTCAATTGACTTGATTACAACAAAGATTCAAAACAAGCATAATAAATCGAGAGACAGATCTCCATCTGTACCTAAATTAGATTTTAAAAATGTTAAGGAGTTTTAGGAGTAAGATTGGCTTTCTTATTCGAAGAAATTAGAAGAATCTATTAAGATTTTAAATCAGAGGATTTTTTATCTTGAAGATGAAAATGATAAGTTAACCCAGAAATATCATAGATTAGCTCTTAATAACACGAAATTGTATGAGTTGAATGAAAAATTGAATCAAACTTTGAAAGAGTTGAAGACTAAAATGAAAGAAATATAGAAAACTTTTAAAGAGAGAGCTAAAAGGCAGAAGGAATGTTCTTTTTGTAATAATATGGTAGAGATGAGCATGTCAAACTTCACAATGACTTATGATAAGGTAAATGTTAGCTTTGACACATCACTAATAAATAACAGTTTTTAGAATACTAAAAACTCATTCATGAAAGCCAAAGAGCAATAATAGTATTATGAGACAAAAGGATCCAATATGGGAACGAACTAGAGTTATTAGGAAAACCAAATGATGATGCAGAGAAACAATCAACCTATTTACACTAACTAAGAATTACATGAGTTAATAAATGACTATTCAAAGAATAGCAAGATTGAACCAAGTGATGGTCTAGATGGATAAGATGTATAAGTGAATGATGACAACTTTTCTAGCAAACCTAAGATTCTTAAAGATACAAGCAAGTACATAAAAAAGAAATCTGGCAAAATATCCTAGCCCAATCCAATTAACAACATAATGTAATCAGTTTAAGAGGGTCTGAGTCAAATCTTAAATCCAAGCTAAACATTCACTGGGGACAACTAAGGAGTAGTTGGGCAAAATTAGCCTAAACTTTCAAATTAAACACCAACATTTAATAACAATGCCCTTCCTGGTAGTAACAGTAACCCAGCGCTTCTGTAACAATAACAGCAATAATAGCATATGCCTAAAATAGCAGGAGTTGCATTGAAAGAAGTTTCATCCGTTAAAAATCAAAAACTTTAATAGCAGTTTATGAATAAGAAAGCATCAAGAAATTAATTTGATTAGTACTAAGATCAGCAGATATAGCAGCAAATAATTTAGCAATAAATTCCAGATTAACAACTAATAATGGCAAGAGAAGAGAGTGATGATATCGCTTATTAAAAGTAGTAATAAATGTAACTCTAAGAATAGTTTAAAAGATACTATGTAAACCCATAAAATAGTGCATAAAATTAAGTGAAAAATATAAACATGGTAGACCCTAAAAATATGAGAGCGGGTGGAGTATAAAGAAGTAACTCTGATTTGAAAAATAATCTACATGGTATGAATTAAGCCTAATATAGCTCGTCTGGATAAGCATCATCAAGTTAGAAATCTTAATAAAATAGTAAAGAGAGATAGAAACAACCTATAGCCGGATTTGAAGAGAAAACAAAACTGACTCGTGGAAAGAAACAGTCCGTGACCAACAGGAATTCACCCACAAACCAAATCTCTTAAAACTCAAACGCCTCAAGCTAATAATCGAATATGATTGGGAATTTCTTAAATGTATTTGACAGAAGAAAAAGAAACTGAATAGATTGATTCATCTACAGATAATTTACTTATTAGTCTTGATTCCTATAACCTATTATTAAATAATACTTTTCAAAGCATATTTTAACTACAAAACTATTTAAACAAATAGTACTTCATGGGGTTTTGGGGTTTTGGGGTTTTGGGG